ACTTGATCCCTGGATTTGTGGGAGACTTTTACCCTTGGATACAGGGTATCTTTGCCTACCTGAAAATACAAATCACCAAGTAATTCAGCCAAATCAAAAAGGACTAATGTACTGAAAGAGAGTATTTCAGAATACACCTTCTATGAAAGAGGTCTTCAAACTTGGCAACTTTAAGACTTGGGGACTTCAACTCCCAGTATAGCTGGCTGGAGAATTGTGGGAGTTGAAGTCCCCAAGTCTTAAAGTTGCCAAGTTTGGGGACCCCTGCTCTATGGTGTAATTGTTGAAAAAGCCAGTTCTTGCATATCAAAGAAATGGCCTTGACTAAGAAGAAAAAAACATGTCTTCTTAAATTTAAACAGAAGGCTACAACTGCCATGCTAAAAATGCTTACAATAAAACACAAAAATTTGAGGCCACCGCGGAAGAAATTATTATTTTTAATTGTATGGAAAAATTGCATCCCAACAAATATCGTTACTTTTTCTGAAATTCAAGTAAGTAAAAATAGGCTTGTAATGTGCAGGTAAAAATTCTAAAGAACTCCCTCTTAACTCTGAGGGTTAGCAGAGTCTCTTGTGAAAAAAAGGATTGATAACTTTTTACACTGCAATATGGAGGGTATATTATTATATTATGCAAGAATAAATCATGGGAGTGAAGGAGGCAGTTGAAGGGGGGGGGCATTACAAAGGTTGGCCACAAACCAGCATGATCAGGAACATTGTGGAAGATTCAAGAGAGGACCAGTTCTCAGACATTGTTGCTCTTATTTTTCTTGACTAATTTACTTCCATGAGCAGCATAAAGAAGGGAGCAAAACAAGATGCCTTTCTAGACTATCACCTCTAGATTTTTTTTTCTTTCCCATCATCCAAGACTGAAGACTTCTTGTTAAAAAATGAGATGGAATGCAATTTTGAGTGGACAAAAGGCAGAAAAAAGTATGAGAGTCACTTAGGTGGCAAATATTTGACAAAAATTTGACAAAAATAAATTCTTCCAATTCCTCGCCACCCTTTATGGGAGCTATAGTAATACTGTAATAAAAGTTATTTGTAAAAGTTGTACCTTGGCACCAAATAAAAAGATACCAATGGATAAGAAGAAGCAGAATTCAAGATCAAAATAGAACTGGAAGGGACCTCGGAGGTCTTCTAGTCCAGCCCCCTGCTCAAGCAGGAGATCCTATACCATTTTAGACAAGGGAGTGTCCAGTCTCCTTGAAAACCTGCCGTGATGAAGCACCCACAACTTCTGAAGGCAAGCTGTTTCACTGGTCAATTGTCCTCACTGTTAAGAAGGTTCTCTTCAATTCCAGGTTGCTTCTTTCCTTGCTTAGTTTCCATCCATTGTTTCTTGTTCTGACTTCTGGTGCTTTGGAAAATAAATTGACCCCCTCCTCTTTGTGGCAGCCTCTCAAATACTGGAACGCTGCTATCATGTCCTTCTAATTCAAAATATATTAACTGGGCTGGTGTATCCAATTTCTTCTTGAATCACCATCCAAAAGGCTACAGGTTAATTCATAAACGCCCATATTACACTGCATATTGCATTGCCCCAGGGGAGAGGGGGAAAAAAAACCCCAAACCCTCGTGACGCAACAATGTTTACTCTGGCCCCTTGGAGACAGCAGAAAGAGGAAAACCCCTAAGCTTATTGAAAGATGCAGATTGGGAGAACAGCAAAGGAAGACAGTCTCCGTCTTCGGGATTTCCCATAGGGGTCAAGACATCACTGCCTGGCAAAGAGTGTTACGCTTGACGTGGGCGAATTCCCACTTTCCTTGCGAGAAAAAAGAAGGAGGGCGCCCACCACAGTCCCTCCCCGCCAGAGGTCAGTCGTCCGGACAAATTCGTTCAACAGCTAGGCAAAAAACCTCCCCTTTGGTCGCCACAGCAACGCCTCACCATCTGCAGCCGCGCCGAGCGGTTCCCTTTGCCTCTGGATTGGCGCTGCGAGTCAGGAGGGGAAACCCAGCGTTCGCCCCGCTCCCTTCCGCTCTCTCTGTTTTTCCCGGGCAGGATCGAGGGCGGCCGTGAGAACTGCGCTCCGGCTTAAGCACAAGAATTCTTAACACGTGCCTTGTTTTCGCTCCCCTGCGCGCCTTCGGCCGTCTCCTTCTGCACCGCGCCGCCGCAGTTACCGCAGCAACATGGGCTCGACCCCGGACAGCCACGAGATGAACGGGCTGACCACGGCAATGGGGAACGGGAATGGCAACACCGGCGGCGACGCGACGCCTCCAGACGAGGTAAGAGGCTCTCTGGGCGGGCAGGCCATGAAGACAAAAACTAATTCAGCAGTTACTGGGCAGCTGTTTCTGGGCGGGTAGCTGGGCGAAGGTGCCCCGGGGACATGGGGTTTGCCAGCCAGCGCCGCGGAAGCCTGTGTATCCGAAAGGCCTGTTTTCACTGGTAGGCAAGCGGGTAAAAATCTCCTCTTGCCGGGTGTTTTTTTTGGGGGGGGGGGGCACCTCCGAAGGGCCGTTTCCCCCCTCTTCTTCCCGGCGCGGAGATTTCCCGTAAATCGCGTCTCGCTTTGGAATGCCTCCAGAGGCGAAGTTGGATCTCTATAGAAAGCGAAGGCGGCTTTCCGGCTGCTCGATTGGAAAAGATTTAATGGGCGATGGGTGGGGGCTGCTTGGCAAGAGGCTGCTTGTTTTCCCATGCGTAGATGCCAATGGGCAGCCTTGTGGAAAGAAAGAAAAAAGGCGATGGAAGATTGCAGAACTGGGAAGACTTTCCACTAATTTACAGGAAGAGGCAAACAAGTGGCCAGGCGACATAAGGCATTCAGGGAAGAAGAAGAATCACGATTGGATTATAATAAACTCACAGCCTTAGGCTAGGGAGAGATGGACTACTAGCAGTGGTGGATTAAGGCTCACTGGTGTCCTAAAGCACTGACAAATCTTGGTGCCCCCCTCCTTTGTACATACTGTACAAATCTTCATTGCTTTTTTTTTCTTTCTCAATTTTGTGATGCCCCCTTTAGCCCTGGTGCCCTAAAGAACTTACTTAGTCTTCTTAATGATTAATACACAACTGACAACTAGACTGCATCAGCTGGAATCTGATTGGCCCGAAGTGATTTTCCAGGAATCTCTTAATATTTGGTCCTGTCAGGAGTGTTGAATACTAGCGCGGAAACATACGCGCGGAATAGGACTCCTTTTATGATTGGTTCCTGGGCGGAGCCGGGTTACT